TTTTTTACTGCATAGCGGTTGTATATTTGGACATTAGCACACAGATGTTCTAAAAAGCCTCGTAACAATAATCACCAAGATAAGTCTTCGGAAATTTTTTTTTTAATTTTTATCAATAATTTTTTTTTTTTAATTTTTATCAATAATCACCAAATCATCTTGTTGATCTGCTTGATTTATTACCTGTTGATCTGTTTGATTTACCTGCTGCTCTGTTCAAATATACAACCGATTCATCTGTTGATAGAGATTATCTTTCAATGTTTGCAGCTTCTGAGATTTGGAAAAATTCTCCTTGAGAAAAGAAAGATATATTGAAAATGAGGGAAATTATTGAAGCTATCCTTAAAAGAATGTAATTTAGAATTAAATAACCAAAATTGCAGATTGATTTCTAAACCAATTTCATAAAGTTCATTTTCAAGTTAATCTTTTGCATTATTTTACAATATATAGCTGAAAGATAACGCATGCTTTTTGAGATTGGAGACTTGAAGAAACGGCTGGTTGAGCTGAAGGAATCGGTGAATAAATTGACGGGAAAAGATCCAGTTATTGAACGTTTCGAGAATTATCTGCGCTCCACCTTTCCATGTGCCGGTGACATCAGTACGCTAACCAGTGAACTCGAACGTTGTGATGTAAGTACTTTCCAAAACATTTCCTGTTTTCTTCATTTTTTTTTCATTTTAAGAATGTATTTTCTGTTTAAGCTAGAATAACTTACTTGCTTTTTAGCTAGAATAACTTACTTTTAGCTAGAATAACTTACTTGCTTCATTTTTTTTCTTTAACTTATCTAATAACTAACCAAATGTGAAAGTTAAATTTCGACCCGAAAATATTTTTGTAATAAACGAAAGTTGACAAAGTTGATTTGCTCAGGAATTACTCAAGGAGTTGGGAGATTTAAAGCTAAAGGATCCGAAAGTGGAGCAACTGGAAAAGTTAGGCAATGCGAAACGTGATAATCTGGCGGATTACTTAGAAAGAAGTCAGCGGAATGATGAAAAGACAACTGCATCCGAAAATATGCTCTCTGCATTGACGGATCGCTTTGCGGCTCTGAAAAGTGCAAAACTAGAAGTACCCGAACTGTACAAACAATTCATGGTTTGTCGCTTGTGTATTGATTCTTCATTTGAGTAATACTTTATGTAAGAAATGAATGATAAAAGAGTCGACAAGCAAGACTTTCAATCCAACTCTTCAATTCATGAACTGTGATAGATAAGAAGGTAGGCAATAAGAAGTGATCATATCTCTCAATTAATGAATAAATTAAGAAATGAACAACGAATTTATGAGTTTCATCCAATTACGAAAACATAAAAGTTTCCTTGCGATTTACATACGGAGACGTAAAAGTTTTTTTGATGTAGTAAAGATTCAATATAGAATAAGAACTACATTCTGGCTCTTTAAAAGTCAGATTTCTTGAAATTGTTAAAACTAGTGATGATGCGTATCATTTTGCAGTTGACTTGTGTCTTATTTATTTTCCAATAAGAATTATCCCGGAATTTCCTGATTCTGTATGGCGTAGCTTTTTAGGAGCTACAAAAGGATATTCAACAAGGTTTAGCAATTCAGAAGGAATCAGTGATTCTAAACGAAGAAATTATGTTGATAACGTTGAGTAGCTCGGCATCCAGCCGTGATCGAATCTTCCAAAAGCTGAAAAATCGAATGCAGCTAACTGTTGCTGGTTGGAGTACCTTAGAAGATGATATTGATGAAAGTATAGCATTACTGGAAAAGGAAAGTAAACGACTTCAACAAAGTATGCTCTAAATTGTTTACCTAAAATGAAATTGAAGCAATTTGTGAATAGTAGGGTGAAGGGTACCTGAGTTAGGTACCTCAGTTGTGGTAACTTCTGCTAGCCAATATTCAACAATATGAAATAAAACGATGGTGATAGAAAAAGAAATGGAATGGAAAGCAAAATATGAACAGCGAGAATTTCCTTTTGTATTCCCGATAACGGTCACCATCGTATCTGATCTAACTTTCCTACGTAAATCTGAAGGAAACTTATAATGCCGGGCAATAAATGATTTGTTTCATTCCAGTGGTTCAAGAGATTCTTGAACTGATTAGTTTTAAATAACCAACATGGACGATAACTTACAAGTGTTTGTCCCACGTACTTCACCTTTAATTTAGGATATGTAAGTGTGCTTGTGGAATCACATACCAAAACAAAAAGGAATCAGTATCGGACTTGGGTTAAAATTCTTTTTCGAACAAATACGTTGGAAAAGGCATGTTGAAGATTTATTTAATTTGTGTTACTTTAATTGTAGCTGTAACTTTAAAATTTATAGGTGCGGTACGAGAATTACAACGAAATATGGATGAACTTCGACGTGCCATCGATGCAAGTCGTGATGCGACAGATGCAGAAGAATTCAGCGAACATTTATATGTCAGTTTTTTATTATTACTAATTTTATAATAATGAAATAATGTTCGTTCTCAAAAGAATTTACTTTTATTTTCTCATTTTAGAATTTGGAACATTTATGTGAGACAATGGAAACGGCTGATAAAGAATTAGAGAATTTATCGGGAACAAATGAACGGATGGCAAGAGATGTTAGCTTTCCTCAAGATGTTTTGAAAATAACTGAAGAATTTGTGGAGAAAGGAAGGATTCTAAATAATAACAATTAATATAAAGAAGAAAAGTATTGTAGAGTAGACTGATAGCTTATTTCCAGCTTAATCATGCACGTGAGCAACGTGATGATGTACTGCTCAAAGCTAAGGAACGTATCGAACAACTTGAGGCAGCTATTCGTAATTGTGAACAATTCGACAGTTCCTTAACCGAATGTCAAGCCTGGTGTAATCATGTACAGCTGATACTGTCATGTCGAGCTGCAAATGATGTTTCTGCGTTGGATGTACCTCATGAATACAAGGTAATTATCGCTTATCTGTTTAATTCGCGCAACTTGAAGATAAGACAAAATTGAAGTGCATGACAAGAAAATGTAAATGATATTTTGACTATCAATTAAATACATAAGAAAGTGAGTAGATGAAGTGAGGATGATCAGGTGCTATGGAATATAGAGGTAAGTGAAACTTTCTGCAGCATACATATCAGAAACGATGTGAAAGGGAATGTGATGCAGATTGTTGTGAAGAAATTGTAGAAATTCATTTTCAACAGTTGACATCTGTCACATTTTAGTTATACTTCGAAAGAAAAACTTAAATTATGCTTGATATGATGCTTCCTTGCTCTTTCATCTTTCATTTTTTCGCGTACAGTGCACCAAATAATAGAGCTAGCTTCTATTAGTTACATATTGCACTAAGATTAATAAATTACATTTCGAAGTCGAAAGATATTTCTTTAATTTTATCGCCTATCTCTAACGGCTAATGTAATCGTATGCTTGGCTTGTTAACACAGTTTTGATGATCTGTTTGATATAACCGTTTAATAGTGCGAACTATTCGATTCGAAGTAGCCTAAATGCTAAACAATAGTAAACCTCTTCGGAGCTTTACTATTGTTTTATTGAAATTTAAAAAAAAGACTATGTAATTTGAAATTTTTAAAAAATTCCAAATTGGTTTGCTACAATCACTTTTGACGATAATTTTTGCTAAAATTATTCCAATTTCTTGCTTTTTGTAACAGTTGAAAAGTGTTCATTTCAGAATGCTTTTTCCAATGGAACGCTTATTGCGGTGAGTTCAAAAGCATTTCTCTTTAGGCATTTCATCCTTTCCACGCTTTTTGTTAGCGGTCTGTTGGGCCTTTTTTTTTTACTTTTGCTTTATTGCATATTTTTGTTCGTTCAATTCCTAAAATTGCAAAAGATCGGAAACTTATTTTGCATGCACATTCTTAAAGAAGGAGAAATGCGCTGTTGTCAAGGATGGATAGAGGAAAGAGGAAAAATAAGAAAATCCGACAAAAAAAAGTTTATTTCAGTCAATGTGATGTTTTTTTTTTTTTTATTATCTAAAAATGCGCACTTATCAATTCATTCTCCATCATTTTCGTTCTTTTCGAATTCCAGCAACTTCAAAAAGAATTCGATGATTTCGAGTGTTGCATCCGAGATTTACGAGAATTTGTTCTTAAAAATACCAGTGATTGGGGTACACCAAATCGCTTACAATTACAATTGGATCATATCACTGTAAGTTCTGGAACTCACTGCAATTTTTAATGATTTTTTAAAATGATTTTCATCTTACGACAGGGAAATTTCATATATTAAAGGAATGTGCTTAATCGAATATATTGATACCATTAATAAATTACTGTGCTAATAAGGTTTTATTAGCAATTAATCTTCAATCGTTACCTCTCAGTAACTTTTTTCTGAGCGCATTAACACTGGATAGTGAAGCTGACATTTTCGTTTAGTTTTGCAATTTCTCTTTCTCAACTCAAACAATTTTCACATTTCTCAATAAGTTCGTCGTATGGGCTAAAAAAAAGCTTAAGAATGACCTAAAATACGAAATGAAACATAGCATCGTGTGAACTATATTTTATTTAAACATGAAAGAATTAATTCATGTAAAAATGATAGAAAAGTGGCACAAATTTTGTTCATTAAGATAATTTATTAATGAGTAACAGTGTAAGGTTAAGTAAAAGAAATTTTTGTTTTATTTTTCATTCTTCATCCGATTCATTCAATCATAAATCATTGCTCATTCATCACTCTTTGTTTTTATTTCCTGGCCGGATTAGTTCCTCACTAATTTCAGTTTACTTTTTTTAGATATTTTATCTTCGAAATCGATTAGTTATAAATGAATTGAATGGCTCGTTAAATAATCCATAGGATTTTCTTCGCATTTGTTGTTTACTATCATTTATCCGTCTGTCTATCAATTCAGTCTTAGATTATCATTCACAATTAAATTTAAGCTTTCCTATTGTCATTTACCTAATTGTATAGTCATTAATTTCTTTCAGAGATGAATTCAAATCGATCGCATTTTAAAATAACTTCTCAATAAGTCTTAAAACATCGAATTATATCATTTTTTCTACTAAAGTTTCATTTCATTTATTTTACAGTTTTGCTTAGGAGTTGGAAAAAGATTTCTTTTTGTTCATAGAATCAATTCGAAGATTTGATGGCGAAATTTGTTGAGTTCAAGCAACCAATTGGCTTAGAAGAACGCGCAGAAAGGTTATCACGGGAAATATCGGATATGGAAAATAGTGTTGACGAATTGACGGGTGTACAAGCGGAGAGTTGTAAACAAGCTTTGGATCATACCAATGAAATCACTAGACGACTTGCTATGGTTTGATTTTTCGCTAAACGAACTGTGTTTGAGAACCGGAATTGTACTTTCAGGGTCAATCTATATTAGTTGCTGTATCTGACAATCAATACTTACCTCCAGTACCGACAATTGACAAATTTAATTGGGACTAAGTGATTCCCTATTGTCATTCTTAATCATGAGTGATAAATTAGTCTTCAAGAAGACAACTTCGGTGATTGCAATTGTCATCGATCCAGCATCTTATTTATCAAATTTTGTTTCTTTATGATGTTGAAGAAATGAAAAACGTCGTAGCTTCTTTAAAGATATTCTATTCAGGCAAGAACGCATTTGGAAGAATTAACTGAATCCGGAAAAATGTTTGCCAAGGAACAGATTTTAATGCCAACTGCTGTGCAGGTTTTGAGCAAGAAAGTTAGCAAATTAGATGAGAAGCTAAAGAATTTGAGCGAGAGGGTTTGTTTTAATAAATAATCTGAAACGTTTTGTCCCAAGTTAGACGGTTAGTTCGCTCCCTACCATATCTCAGTTCTGGACCTGTTCCCGATCATTACTTTGTTACCTTACAATTTCAGTATTAACATCCCGCATAATCTCAATCGATCTCAATAAAAAATGAAACATCTCTCTCCTTAATTTTGCATATTTTCTCATTCCTTTAAATTCAACAAACAGTTTTCTTGAATTCCACACAAAATCTATGCATTCGTTTCCTCCTATTAGATTTGAGAATTTTAAAGAATATCGAAATGACGGAACGCATGCAAAACTGCGTAATGTCGTTGGACGCTCTGAACAATGATATGAAAAAACTGGACGCTGTATTTGAGAGTGTAGAATCGAGACTGAATGCTTTTGTTCGATCAGAAAACATAGAAACAGTAGATGCCGATCGAGCAACGTTGGAAGAATTACTGGAAGACCTCAATAAGTACGGGATTTTACATAAAAGAACTATCAAAGCTTTATGTTAAAGTAGTTTGATCTAATTCCTTGAACTCAGAGGTGTGTCATTGTTGTCGAGGGCTGAAAATGTCATGCAACGATTGTCAATGGATTCGTTCAAAGTTGATGAAAGCATAATAGAGCAAAGGAAACGTCGAGCTATACGTTTGCAAGGCGATTTACGATCGTGGATTGATGCTGTTAAAGTGAAATTTACAATCTTTCCTCAAATTCATTCAATTTCTGGCAAATCTCATCTTATTAATTTGATTTAATTCGAATATTTTTCTGACTAAAGTTGACACAAAATAAAGTCGAAGATCAGGAATCTCGTTTTGCATTATCAATAAAACTCATTTTTATGAAATGAAAATAAGAGTTTTTTTTTTGATTATTATAAAATTTTGCCCTCTCAAACCATCCAATATCTCAAAGATTTTTGTTTATCTCTGTTTATCTATGAGTACTTCTGGTACTCATAGCTTCAGGCTTATCCAAATGACAACTTATTATTTAATTAATAATTTCCAGCTTTCAGTAGATTTTTTCAGTTGTTTCGCTTTACCTTTACTAACCAATGTCAATAGAAGAAATTTCTGAGATGTATGCTAAAGCTTACTAAAATGTAAACATTAGCGGTACTGCTCTATCAATCTCTTCACGATATAGTCATCTCACAGTTTCGTGTTATTTTCAGTGTGTCAGTGAAGATAAGACGGCACTGTTGCAGAAGTTCGAAATTTTGCACAGTCAGCTAAAAGAATCCTTGACGGAGATGGAACAAATTGAAAATACCGAGGTTGGAGTTTTCAATTTGTGCCGCTGACATTTGTCTATGCGGAAAATTCCGTTAACGATCAACTCTTTTATACTTTGGAAAATTTGCTGAACGAGCTTGTGAAAACTTAAATTGCCAATTGAAAATTTTATTTCGTTAACTCTTTTATTTTGTGTCTGTAAATCAAAAAACATTGTGAACTGCCAGTCATTTATTTACCTTTTAGGTGTTACTAGCCGCATTAGACAAATGCAGATCGGATAAGAATGTTTTCATTGCACGGTATCGTCGACTGTTGAGATCAGATCCTGAAGCGGAAACAAAGTTTTCAGTGGTCTTTTCAGAAGTTGTTTTTCCTTTTTTTTTTTTAGAATATTCAAATATTTAGGGTAAATCTTTGCAGGGAAAGATCGTTGTTGGTAAACCTGAAATGACTTGAAAATTATGAAATGAAAGATCGCTTATATTTTTCTTCTTTTTAATGACTGTTTTGGAATTGATAGTTTTAAATTCCAAATATTTCTTTTAAAATAAATATTCAAACTAATAGAATAACTAAGTAAATTTATTCGGGAATGTCTATCGCAGGTTGAGAAGCGCTGGAATGAGATGGAGAAGAAATGTCAGAAAGCGCGAAGCACTTCGCCCTCTGGCCCGGCACCCCCGCAACTACGTCATGACAGCATAAGAGGAAGTTTTCGGGATCAAATCAGTTTATTACACGATCTATACAAAATTGCTAGTGATTGTCTGGATTTTGAACGCTTTCCGGTTTCCTCCGTGAGTGAGTGGTCGAAACGTGTTCAGGTTTGTAAAAGTACTCTCATGATAGTACTCTCATTTCCAAATAATGTTCATAACAGAATCTGATTACTGTAACCAACAATGAGAGAAATCCGAATCTGAGCTATTCTTCTAACTTTGCCGCTTTAAAAGATGCTATTTAACCGAATTTGTGCTCTCTTAACATATGGCGCAGTTGTTGCTTTAGGATGTTGACGATTGGCTTGTTGATTACACCGGAAAACTGAAGGGAGCGGTCGAGCAGGGCCGTTGTTTGGCAAGTAGCGGTCGCATGGAGCTTGATGTTCACGACGCCTTAGGTAGTTTGGACGGGGTTGTTGATTTAGCAAATCAGGTACTGTTATTGCATTCGTTCTTATTTTTTCTTTGTGTGTTGACGAGCAGTTGCTAGGACAAATCGTACAAAGAGCAAAAATTTGAATTCGAAATTTTGATTACATTAGCGAAATTTTCGCAAAGTTCTCAGAGTTTAATTTTGCTTTTGATGTTAAAAATCAGAATTAAAAATTTCTTTAAATTTATACTACAAGTAAAATATCTTTTTTAAAGAAGCAGTTTCAAAGCGCTTGACATTTTTGTAACTTCTATTTTGCTGAATTTTCTGACTAATTCAGGTGGAAGGAACCTTGAAGGAGAACAAAACAAATTTGTTTCCTATACAAGCTAAAGCAGAGGCTCTACAACGAGACATTAATGCAATATACGATGTACTGGAAAAGCTTTCATCCCGCGATCTATCAGAATCAACAATCGCCAGTGTTAGACAGTTAATTTATATAAATTTAGTAGCAGGCGAGAAAAAGAGGGGACAATTTTAGCTGAATTTTCAGCATTTGATTTTCCAAATTACACTTCTTCAAATTATATATATATTTTTTTTTTTTGAAACTGAAAATTTCAACCTCCAAAGAGATAGCACACTTACGGAGTACTGTAGCCTATAATGACGGAAGAAATTCAGTTGCGACAAAATTTACGACAGCATTTTCTTGATCTGTTCCAGTAGTATCGGGAATGATCTCAGTTATCTTTAGATATGCCAGTCTTAGTTTTCCTACTAATCTATCGGGTGGATTCAAACTTCCATTAACGGAAATAATTTTTTCATTTCTAATCAGAATTTTTGGAAAAATTCGGAAGTTTTGAAAAGATCAGCAGAAGATTTATTTGTTGAATTCTTGAGTTTTAATATTATTGCTTGTAATCCTTGAGAAGTGTTGTACATTTTCATTTTGAAATTTTATTTCGGGAACTAAAACTGCTTCAAAAACCCTGGAAAAGATAAGCTGGTTTGTTCGGACTGCTTCATTCTAATAATCTGAAATCATCAGGGTCAGGCACTATCATTTCGGAGAAAATACTTCCAAAATAGTAACTGTATCGAGAAGACATTATCGCTTATCAACTCGAAAGGGTGGAGAGAGATCCGTATCACTTACAATTTAATTAGCTGGTGCTTTGAACGACAGGCATGCTCAGATATCGGACATATAATCAGGCAGTCTTGGTACTTACCAAAGCACAGAAAAGCTTCTGAAATTAGAACTTTGTTAGGGTCAAAGTTCAAAGGATTACTAAATGTTAAGATTTCTAACAAGGTTCTGTCGCTGGTAATCCTTTTCAGCTTGAAATACGAATAATTTTTTGGATTTCCAGGCCACTCAACGTGATTTGCTAGATCGGCAGACGCAGTTAGATTACTTGCAACGGCGAAGTGATGATCTGCACAATTGTCTCCCTGGAAATTCTACAAGTCAACCAAATACAATAATGGATAAAATTTATGATAAAATTCGTGATCTCGAAGAGAGAATAGACGTATCAATCAAAAAAAATCGGGAAAATATAATGGTGCAAATAGACCAGCCATTAGAAATAATTCGATTGGAAGAACAAAAAGAATCGGATGTAATTTCGACTGCAAGTACTGGTGGACAATCACTCACACTCGAAGTACAGGTAAGGATTATATCTGCTTACTTATCTTGTTACACATCGGTTTTAATCGAAGAGATGGAACATCAACCCTTGTAGTGAACTTTTCTATTCCAATTGTTTACATAAATTACTTTTAACTATCCAAAAAATCGATTTTGAAGAAAAACTCAATATTTCAGGAAGCTGAAGATGATCATCAGCCACGGGCGGAACTGCAGAAGACGGGATCAAATGGCTCTGAACCTTTGATAATGGCAATGAAAGTTAACGTTATCGAACCATCCGAATCGCTCATGTCTTTATACATCGAAATGGATGAAATTGAGAAGGAACTAAATCATAGAGACCCATTGCCTTTCAAGGATTTGCATCAAAAAAACGAAAACTGGAGGTTTGTGACATGATGAAACATTCTGATGATTCATTCCCTACTCCTTCCACTACAGCAGATTGTATTCTACTGTGACTACAACCATCACAATCGTTTTCCGCTCCCAATGACCATGCATGACCTTTTAAGCAGGTCACTTCTATTCATGGCTCATTGATCTCTATAAGTCTTAGTTACCGCTCATTTACATATTTTGATTTAATCACAAAAAGAATGAAATCCTCTGCTTCTCTCAATTTTTCTCTTCTGCATTGCTTTATCTGGATTAAGTGATAATAGTATGATAATGCGATAGCATACTACTGTTTGCTTACATATATCATACAATGATATGATTCATTTTCCAATCATTTTCAAGTTTTTTCAGCTAGTAGCAATGCTTTCTATTGGCATGCTATACTCACTACTTCTTTCTTTCTATCTTTTGTTACTTCCAGCTGAGATTTCTTATGTTGAAGTTGATTATTTGGCATTATCATTCAGTGATTTCATGAGAACAAAGGATAATAGGGAATTATATAATCATCGTCATCCATTTGTCAATCCTAGGCAGTACGATGCCTGTTTAGGGGCTTATTACGGGATGTCTCAGAAAATTACAAGTCGTTTCACTTGACTTTATCAGTGGTACATTAACCAAACGCTGGTCGTTTATTTTTTAAATTATATTTTTTTAATCTGATAATGCATAAGTAATTGAAGACCGATGTTTAGTTCAGTTATCGGTTTTTTATAAAAGGTCTGAAGTTGGCTAATTATGGATAAAAAGCATCTGCCGGTTGAACTATGAAAGTTTTTTGAAATTGTTGAAAATTAATGTGCCAAAGCACGTTGACTTTTTCTGATCATTCCTTCTGAGACTGGAACTTGGATGATTGAATCATTGCTGTTAGGAAGAGACTTTGTGATTGAAAAATAGCTGTGAAATTTATTTCGTTCGTGACTTTTATGACATTTTTTTTTCGATTGACTGATTGTCCAACAATCGTTTAACTATTATTCATCCAAAAGAGATCAATCTAATCATTCTTCTCAACGATTACTGGCTTGACCAAACTTTATTGCTTATTTGAAATCTTAAAAGTATTCAAAAATTTGTTCGAATCGATCAATCCATGATCGAATTTTTTTTTTTTTTCGTTTCCAAAAGAGAATATTTAATTCTATTCGTTGTTTTCACAAAGAGATTTCTTTGTTCAAACTGAAAAGAGGAGAGAAGTTAGGAAAGTGTTGGATTGATACTGAAATAAGAGGCTGGCTTTTCGAATAAAACGCTTGAAAAATTTGTTTCGCTGTTTGTGGCAAAAGAAAAGCGCTGGTTGGGTGCCATCTGTACTAAACTAGCAGCTATTCTTCAGTAAACCCTAACAATTAATTAGTCGAACGTAATCATCATCAATTCATTTGCTGATTTCATTCATAAATGAGTGTCCTTTTCATTCCTCAGCTATTATTTTATTCTTATTTAATTACTTCATTGGCATACTAATAACCCACTTCTGAAATCATTCATTTTGATTTCCTTATTGAGCCATGTTAATCTAAATCTGAGAACAAACAGGTTAATGAATGCTCTTAATTGAAGGTAATGAAGTTGGAATAACTTAGATTTAGAGAAATTGCTATAATTCAACATGAACAAGGCATAGATTTAATCCGAAATTTTAAAATTCAAGGGTTTTTTTTGGATGACCTTTTTACCAGCATTAATACTTTTTGATATTTTCACTTTCTCACTCCAGTCGAAACTACTCTCCAAGTTAATATCATTTTATCTATAAAATCTTTATTTTATCAGTTTCGTAAACTTTCTCACTCCTTTGACCCTTACATTTAGCTTTCACTCTTCCAATGTAGAATGTGTTCTCATTTTAGTAAATCAAAAATTTTCGACAATTTCGAAATTCCAACTCTTTCCAACTTCTTGGCGCTTTCATAGAGAAGGTAATGAGGTAATGAGCGGAGCCCTTCTTGACTAAACTTTCTTATTTTGAATCTTTCGTTTGATAGCGACAGCACTAAATTCATCAATTGTTCTATTTTTAGGAAATGAATGAAAGCTTCAAAAAAGTTGAGCGTGCAATTGACGATTCACAAATGACCATGGATTTGGTGGAAAATGAAGCGGCACGTGAGCGGCTTAAGTCACTTCGAGAGCGAAAGGATCGTCGCACAAGGTAGACGTTCTTCTTCGCACGTTATTTTCTGTCATTTTGATATTGCTTCGTCCAGCTAATTTCTCAGCAACATTTCTTGAAAATTCGGATTTCGGCTTTGATACGTTTTGACTTCCATCCAAAGATTGATCCTAACCTTTCATCGAAAGGCCATAAAATGCTGAATGAACGATGTGGGTAACTCGATTGTCAACACCTGTCGCTTAATTCGGTTTAACTTCAGCGATTTCGGATATTCAATCATAATGTGGATTTGTATGAATATATTACTATGGGTAAAGAAGGAGAGAAATGTCTTTTGGCCCATTGATTTACTAATAATGAGGGATAACTTATGCTTCTTCTATCTTAATAAGAAGATTCTAGTGGTCTTGGGTTAAATTCTATAAAAGTTTTTTTTAGTGAAATAAATAAGCTGATGAAAGCTAAAATTAGTCTGGAAGAAAACATGGAAATCAGTCAAAAATTATTGGATGAAATTGGTAAAACATTAACTGAAGTAGATAACCGGAAAAAATCACCGGAATTGGAAGAATTAGAACATTTTGCGCTGTCTTTAGAGGACCGTTTACAACGAGCCCTGGCACAAATACAGCACACTTCATTAAAGGTTACATTTCTGAATTTCCCAACGAAAATTGGGATGTAAAAAGGAAGAAAAGCAAAAAATCAGTTAGTTCTCTTTGGATATCCACTTCTGAAAATACTGTATTCTTGCTTACAATTATTTCTTTCCTAACAGATTTCTGCTGGAAATTATCACTAGAGTCACCATAATGAAAATGGAAATTTGGAACTGTAGTGATATCTGAGATGTTTGACAAGAGATGAGTGGAATGATCACTGATATGGTTTGACTAAGCTGTTAGTGATCAGTAGTATAGTGAGAGCGGTCTGTCGTAAAAATTTGATGCTCCAATTCCAAAATAATTTGAAATATGATATCTTCACTTTAAAATAAACAAATAAAGTTCAGGCCGAACCAATACTGACAGAAATAGATGAGGAAGAAGCCAATCAACTTCGTGATAGGTTACGCTGTGCAGGTGAACAATGGAAACAGTATGAAAATCTTATCCGGGAAAAGAGACGTCAACTCGATGAACGTTTTGCAGATGAATCGGAACTGAACAACGAAATGGAATTGCTTCAGTTTTGGTATGTAATTAAAACATTTCAAAATTCGAAATAACTTGGATATGCTGTGCCTGTTTGTTTCTGAATTTTCACTTTGTAAGTTAAGAGTTTAGATTCATGGAATATTTAAGGTGTAAGTTTTTTCAAAAATCTACTGATTACGAAGACGCTGTTCACCCTTCTGAATGGTCTAAATTACTTTAACGACATTACTTCCGAAAAGTTGGCATGCTTTGGTCAAAGAATCAGTTACTGTATTAGTTGAATTCTTGGAATATTCGACTGAGTATCTGTTAATGGAGCATATTCTCTTTTGAGGTGAAATGATCACAACTAATCAGTTAGACCTTATCCATTAGCTACTTTAAACTGTTTTGATCTTGCCATTGAACTGAACCATTGAGCTCTTGCCATTGAAATAAACAGGGAAGTACCAAAAAGATTTGAATCTGACTCCTCTTCCTTTAAATAGTTCCATTCTAATTTCTTCATTTTCCGGAAAAGTTTTCGAATTGTCAAACTACACTTTCCTATGATTGAAGGTGCGACGAAACGGAAACGGAATGTGCCATCGTTATCAGTCCACTGAATTTACCTGTTCTAAAAGAACTTTCATCAAAATTAGAGGTTTCTATTTCGAAATTTCTTTTTTGTTGACTTCATTTCATCTCAAAGCTATAGTTTTCAACATTTCCCAATGGGACATCTTATCATGATAGCAAAGGCTAGGTAGCTATCAGTTGATCAAAACAATTTCATTTTCTAATTAGGTTATCTCTAATTTCCAATTGGAAAGTAGAATTGCAAAAATTGTGGCCAATATCAACAATGAAACATTCAGTTAAAAAATCCTTTTACAAAAATATTTCTAAACTTTTTTCTTTATAAATTAGTTGCAGGAACGCTTAACCAGCTACGAAACGAAACGTGCAAATTTGCAAACCATTGAACGTTTGAAAGATCATCTAATTAGTGCCCAGTTGACGGATCCAAACAGCAAACACCGAATACGGCGAGCTGTATCCGAAATAGGGAAGCGTGTTAGCTTGGTAGGTTACTTTTCATATGCGATCAATTTTTAATTATCCACATGATTTTCAGGCCGAAATATTATTTTGTTGAAAAGGCTTCATTTATTCAATAAATGCTGTGGTTTCTCTACTGTTTGTCCAATCCCTTCGTTATGGTGTAAATCATGTCTAAATTACTTGTCCAGCAAATCTGACCATTCATTGTTTATGGAACTTCAGTTAGGCTTTTTTTTGCATGAAGTTATTATTTCGCTCCAAATATTTGTAACTTTTTTCTCCAAATTTACTAAATGTAAATTGCTTGGAGTGAAAATGGCAGTGCTCAAATGCCGAAAGAGCGTTGAGATTTTTTTTTTTAAATCTAATCTAAGCTTGTATTATCCTCCTTATTTTCCATTTATTTTATTTTAGAGTGAGAAAAGAAGTAATCTTTTTAGATCCGAGATCTTTTGCGCGACCGAAAATCGGAACTTGACTGTTCCGTGAATGTTGCCGAAAATTTCCAAGCTGATCTGAATGAATTGCAGAAATTTTGTGAACAAACGGAAAAGGCGATTCAGTTGTAAATCTATCATTTTTTTTCCCCCCCATTTTCAAGAGACTTATACTCGGATAAATAATTATTGACAGTAATTATGTCAGTCGAGATCATCTCTTCCTGTTTGTTATTTATCCTTATTTTTAGCTTTTGCACTGACATTCTTATATGTCGTTCACTTCTTCCTATCAACTGTCTCATTCTGTTGAAAAAGCTTAAACATATTGCCAATTAAACAATTTGTTAGTACTTGGCTCTGGAATTGGCTAATCAAAATCATTTTATTTATTTCATTTTAATTTAATTTCCTCTCAATTAATATTTGCAATTTAATTAAACGTATTGCCACTGAATCAGGCAAAGGACAAAGGATTGTTTTGTACTTTGTCAGTAAATTGAATTCATTTTTGTTACAAAAAATGTTTTAGAGTAGAAAGTGCGACAATTTTTGTACCTTCCGGTACCGATTTGGATTATGTTCGTTTGCATGAAGCGGAAACCGATCAGATTGCTAGGAGAGTGGAAGAACAGTGGAAAGATGTCTCTTCTTTAGGTGGAGCAGTAGTCGATAAGCAACTCGGAATTGTTAGTTTTGACAGCTTATCCAAAGTTTAATGTAAAGCAAAGTAACTGATGAATTTTTCCATTCAGTTTCAGTATTGGCACCACCTTGTAGATGATTCATAATATCAAATCTTCGATCTGTTGAGGGTTGCTAAGAAAGAGTAAGGAAGAATATGACTTGATAGAGGTGGCTTGCTTGGTAGTTTTCCGGTGAAAAATTATTAACACTTTCAGCACTGTAATACGAAATACGTTTAAAATAACCTGTGCGGTTAAGTCTCGTTCTTTAAGAGGTACCAGTAGTGCCAGCTACGAACTAATTATATATTCTTGATCGTAGACTAGTCCAGGCTTGTCACGAATAAAGATTTGGATTTCATTTGCACCTCATAACATATCATGATGGTGAACTTGTCACACTAATGGTTAATAACGAATCATCTTTGATAGGAAATGATGAGTGGACATTTGGGAGACTATTTCTTTTCCTTAGCATTTCTGCTTTTGACTTCTCAAAATGGACTTGCAAATATTGGCAAGGAAACATTAAAAGAATTCGAAGAATTTCTTTGGTATGGCATAAGTAACCCTTCATGCTGGTTAAAAGTATAAATTGAAAACTTGAACCTTACTGAAATATTTAGTAAAAACTTATAGATCGTTGAAGATACTTTACATAGATGGATCAGTGACAAGGAAAAACTGGCTCTTACAGCTTGCTTGCCAACTTTAGAACACGATTCATCTTCAGTAACTTCAGGCAAGTTTCTGGATTTCGTCTCATTTAAACAATTTTCATGGTGCTTTAGATTCATAAAACGTACCAATAAGGCTGCTGAATGATGACATAAACGGAAAAGAGGATAAGAAATTGTTTTTCTATTTTTAATGATTTAAGAAAAACTTTAAGAAAGATTAGTAGTTGCTATTCTTATCTGAACTCAAAAAACAATTTAACGAACAAAGTTATTTCAGAAGCTGTTGGCGAAGAAGAATTGACCAGTGGATTACGAACTACTTTGTCAAGTATTGTTGAAGAAAAAGAATCTCGCACAAGTGAGTATGGAGCTTTGAACGAATCTGTGGCGCTTGAGGAATCGCTTGCACCAAATTTGTCATCCAGAGATCGACTTCTAATGGACAGCATAGTACATATGGGACACTGGTTAACGGAAACGGAACGTGACGCGTCGCTTACCGTCGATTTAGCCGATTCGGAAAGCATTAGAAGTGCGGTCATTCAAATGCAGGTTTGTTTGTCTTTTCTGTGCAATACTCGAATGGATTATGGATAAAGACTGAGGTAATATTTTCTTGGCTTAGAAAGAAGCTATAGCTTCTTAAACTAAAGAAGCTATATGTTTCTACTTAACAACTTTCAACTTTCTACTCGAGTATGAAGTCTAACATGAGCAATTTAATTTATTATTATATCATGCATGTTATAATGCTTCTAGAAACATACACTATGATTTAGAACTTTATTGAAATTGGTATTTTAATTTGGAAAAATTGGAATGAATTCAAAAAAATATCACCGTAACTTTAATTTTGGTGATTGATTCAAAAAATCCTTTCTTTTTCAGGCTTTTATTGATCAATTGAAAATGCGTCATCTGGATTTGATCCGAATTTTGGACGAGAGTCAGAATAAGATAATACGGGAAAGGAGTGAAGTAATGACAGTGGAGTGTAATCGGATATTAGGCGAATGTCAAAGGAGGAAAATGACGTTAACTAAAATGCTGGAAGAAAGTCGAGCGTGGGATAAATTAAGGAAATCATTGAGTACATGGCTTGCGAATGTTCAGGAAAGGTTTATTTTTCTTTCTTCCCTTTTTTTTCGGCGATATTTACGAAATTCGTTAGCAAGTTTCCAATCACAGAATTTGACTATTATGTCATCCCCTCTTTGTGCTTACTTTTACTTCGAAAACGTTTGAATTCTTCATTTTCCATACTTTTATTGGTTTTAATAACAAAATAAATAACTGAAAATAAGAGAGGTATTTTTATAGAGTAATTGATGGGAGTAAAATCGATGCGGCTAATCTAAAAACGCTCAAGCAAGAGCTCAGCGAGATTCAAGGAATAGCCGAAACAGCGAGAGAGATGAAATTAAAGATGGATGAGTTGAATGAACGTAGTAATGCTTTATTAGACAATTACCGTGCTGATGAAGGACATAATTTGTCTCATACAATCTCAAAATTGAATGCTTTATGGAGTAAATTTAACGACAAGTAAGTGTTTACTTTCTTATTTTCAAGTTTAAGCTCCTACCCCTTGACCTTTATTATATCTGAAATTTAAACACTTTGGTTTGAAATTGTCCAACTAACGGATAAAGCATTCGGTTTAATAATCAATTTCTTGTGCTTACTGCGAAAATCGAACAGGAATCTCTATTAACAGTCGTAGACGGTAGTACGAGCATCAAAAGACATGATTTATTCAGATTTTCACGTAAAAAAGGATTAAAAAGAAAAAGGTCGTTGCTAAAATTTTTTTTTTCAACTTTTTGTGGATTTCCTTAAGAAACTAAAATTGATTCTTGAAATTTCCCGAGCTTGAAGGAATGAAAGGAGTCACAATGGAAGATTGTTGAGTTATCCGATAGATCAGATAGTAAAAATGCAAGGGAGTGAGTGGATGAAAGTAAGTTTATTGCAGTGTTCGTATTCGTCGAGCAGTGTTAGAGGCAGCGCTTCGGGCCAGAAGTGATTTCCACTCCGCTCTGGAGCAACTAGAAGAATGGATGAATGGTGTTGAGGTGTCTTTGATGGAACTGAATGAAATAACAGGGAACACGCAGATGCTTAAAGATTCTATGAAAAGGAAAAAATGGATCGAAGATGAGAAGGTGAAAGTTCATAGCACTTGCAGAGAAGTACTAACTGAATTGAATTTCTTTTCATTACTTCAATTTTCACTGAAGCTGTGTCATATTTGAGGTGCAAAACTAAGTTGAGGAGCTATCTCCCTATTAATTCTAAAATATCATGAGGATGCCGAGATATCCCGACGTCAGTACCTAACGAATCTCTTCTGCATGATATTTCAGGATTAATAGAGAGCTTTAAGGCTGAGAATATTTGCTGAATGAAGTTAGGGTGATATATAAGTATTAATGCGCTAATAAGATTACAGAGTGTACGAGCTGATATGAATGCTCATAAGGATGTAATCAAATCGGTGGAAGAGATGGGTGTTGAACTAACACGTCGAGTGGAAGATCTCAAAGAACGAGAACAGCTCAAGGAGCGGTTAAATCATATCGATATCCGATGGCGACATCTGGTCGGGTTAGCTGATGCTATCAGGTGATTTTTTCATAATTTTTATTTTGTATAATCCCAAAAGAATTTATAGAAACGCTTCAGTGATTTATCCAAATTGTTGTCTCTTTTTCGTACCAATGTCCTTGCTGGTGATAAAGGTTCGTGATACTTGGATTCTTTGCTGTTATAAAATTATCCATTACTCATTTTGCTTCAGATCACTCGTAAATTTTTTTTAATGCACAAATAATTTTGATCCTACACATTAGTGACACTGACCACTAACCAGTTTACTTGCTACTTCTCTCCTGATATCTAAAGTGATCTAGCCATCCGATAAAGGGCTTTATAATAGTCAGATTTTTGGGACATAAGGTGAGTGGACACCACTCAATCTTGATAAAGCACAGCAGTTTTTTTTGTTAATTGAATCTGAAAAGATTACATCTATAAATACATTCCTCATTTTCATTACTCTCTAGTTATTCACTTCAGGACTCGTCTAATGAATGCCCAGGAAGAATGGGAGAAGTTATTTACACAATTAGCTGAAAATTTGTTTTGGGCTGAAGCGCAAAGTAAAGCATTACTTGAAGAACAACCAGTCGGTGGTTCGCTGGCTCGAGTACGGGAACAAACTAATTTTGTTCAGGTATTATTTCATTCAGCTATTCTCTTTTCATGGTTAAAAAGTCCATCACATAATTAGGAGCATACCTGTACTTCAAATGCATACTAAGTTAGGAAGTCAACACTTTTTTTTTTATCTCCAGCAAATCGGAACACAATTCTTTGTACCTACTAAAAATAGTTATTTTGGATAAATTAAGAGCTGTCATAGGGTATGACTTGGGAGGTTTTGACAGTAAATTTATTTTGAAGGGCGTAACATAGTAGCCGTTATCAAAATTATTCTGTTCTGTTTTAAGAATTAATTTTAAATTTTGTTTTCGCGCAGTACCGAAAACATTTTCAATCGTATTTTTAAATCATTTTTTACTTTTACTTTGAAAGAGATCTTTTTTTTAGAAACTTGAACATGAAATGAAGCTTCGTCAGCGTGATGTTGACGAATGTGTGACACTGGCCCATAGTTACCTTATGCAATATGACCTGCGACCTCGAATGAGAAGTACCAGCGCTTTAGTGCCAGATGAAGAAAACGGCCAGTGTTTTCGTTTCTTATGAAATAAATTTTAATAACTTTTCAATGGCTTCTTGTAATGTCATACTTCGTATTTCGCCAATTTTTTTTTTTAAAAATTTTTTATCGAATTCATATTTCGTGCGACCAATTTCATTAGCATCAGATTGCTTGTAAAAAGCGCCCAGGTATAGTCTTTGAAATAATGCAGGGAATATATGCCAGACAAGAAATTCCAGAAATTTCTGGAAGAAATCTTCTGAAAAATTTGCAGAAGGGGAACAAAGTTCCAGGAATAATGAGGAATTCCTCTCGAGAAACAGTCATTGAATTTGAATCAAAAAATGAAAATATTTATTTAATTTAAAATGCTGTTAATTATGCAGATGAATCATTTCGAAATGACTGATATCCATTTAAGCCAGACATTTATCGTTTCAGATGATGAGAATTTGGAACTAAGACGTGTTGGTATTCAAATCAAATCTGATAGTGATCGTTTAGTGCAGGAATGGGGTGAACTGCGAGAGCAACTGAATGCCTGGGCTTGCATCATTCATGATGCAAATGCCAAGATGGAAAAGTTAGCATCGGCCATAGCTGAATGCCAGTTGACACTTTCAAATATGGAAGAACGAATGGAGCAACTCCGACCCATAGAGGAGTTAAGATTAGAAGAATTAACGGTAGCGGTCAATGAAAGTGAACAACTGAAGGAGTACCTTACTCGAACACGGATGTATATCGATGATGCCAATGACTGGAGTGGGCAGCTGTTAGCATCGGATGTCGAATTGGCATCTGAGCCAAGTGCACAACTGAAATCAATCAATGATAGGTATGCTGTTGTACTTTGAATTAAATGTAATATAGTACATCATGATAAAATTAAAAATAATACAGTACATCATCATAATAAGAATAGTTTACGTCGATGTATGTCTCCTTGCAAACCTTAACAATAGTCATGTTGACATTTGCGCAGTTCATTAATAACTGCTGTCATTGATGCTTGCAGAAAAATCCTCCTAGCAAATACTTAGAAATTCAACAAGAAAAATGTGAGTCAAGAAGCCACAGGTTAAGCGCAAAATCATTTTGGTACATCATTTCCCAATAAACATTTGGAACTTAGTAATGAGATTGACTCCCAGCATATGTTTTGAATGGTTGCTTATTTGTTAATGAAAATATTAACAAAAAAGTTTGATAGCAGATTGTTCACTTTTATCTTGATTTTCCATCCGATGACAGTTTTAAGTAATTAATTGAAATGAAAGTTTCCCTCAATCAGAAAACACAGGCACAGGAATTTGTGCCACACAGGGACTTTTCGCCTACTCCAGTATCATTTAACAACTTTTTACTTTCAATTAATCAATGGAATTGTCATGAATTAATAGAATTGCTGCAGAAAAATGCTTTCTGTCATTCACTTCGTTTCAATCGACCACAGACTTTTTGGATTGCTTTTTTTTCCTCAGTGACCTACCCGGCTATTGCAGATCGTGCTAGGCAAATTTAAAAAATTTCATATAAACGTATTTTTCGTGAAGGACTCAAGCTGTCTTTGAATCATCGAATCCTTTTTTAATCTAAAAATTTTGATGAAAAGGGAAGCATCTACAGTGATCCCCAACAATGATATATTTTCTTTATTCAGGGAGATTGTACCTATATGAGTTTAATATTTTAACCAAATATGTATTTTAAGGAGATAGATCATGCGATAATTCAGATTTGTTAGCTTATGGATGAAATAATAAAGGAAATAATAGTAAATAAAAACAGAAGTTTGGGGAAAAATAAATTGATTTAATACCTCAATGGTTGCCCAATCATTATTCATAGAAAATTACTACATTTAAGTTACTATTTCACGTTTTAGTCACTTTTAAACGAGAATTATTGCTTTTAAAATGATTCATTCAATGAAATTCAATTATTCTTAATGAAATACTCCTTGTTTTTTTTTTTTTTTACCGCAGTAGCAGTGGGTCTCAACTTTGCCATGAGAAATTTCAGAAATAATTTTTCTCTTTACTGAGGATTCTGCTAAAGTCAGAAGATTTAATGGGAATTTTTTACTGCTTTCTCATTAATGAACTTTAAAAAATAACATATTATTTAACAAAGTAGTTTTATCAGACTCTGTTTTTAAGATATGATTTTTGAATTAAACGAAGCTGAAGAGTGAGGTAATTCTAGACCTACATCTCGTTACTCCATCAAAACTTGTCAAAACATCTCTAAATATTGATAATAAATGTTAGACCTTTCATCCGAACTTGGCTTCATATTGACGATATACTAATGTAGGGGAATATTTGTTCATCTTTTCCGTCCTCAATTACAAAACATAAATTTTGACATTGTATGTGTTTTGTTTGGAAAAATGTCAACTGTTCTCTTTATTTCAGGATGACAAAGTTAAAATCAGATCTACGAATCCGTACCGCAGCCCTGGAACGAGCCATGACCGACTTTGGTCCATCGAGTCAACATTTCTTAAGAGACAGTGTTCAGGCACCCTGGCAACGAGCTATCTCTGCTTCCAATCATTTACCTTACTATATTAAGTAAATCGCTAATTTTTTTAAGCATAATGTTTGCTGATGCATACAGAGTGAAATTTTATGAGAAGCTGATCATTACTACATCTGAGTCTACAAGATTGTTGTAAATTATAGTCATGATACGGAAGTAACTCAGTGGGATCATCCAGCAATGGTTGAGATCATGGAAGAGCTGACCACTTTTAATCAGGTCAAATTTAGTGCTTATCGAACAGCGATGAAGTTACGATCAATCCAGAAACGTCTCTGTTGTAAGTTCGCTATTGTTACCGCAATCGTATCTCACGCTGATATACAATGTACACTTATTGTGCTGAACTCGAAAAGTGTGCTATATTTCATATACAGAATATTATCCCATGTTTCAAATTCATGCATTTTAGTGGATTTACTAACTTTGGAAGATGTGGACTTGAATCTGCAACCTCTCAATTCGATATTAAGTGAGCAATGCTTATCGATGAAAGATGCGGTAATGTGTTTGGTACCGTTGTTTGAAACAGCACAAGAAAAGTATCCCAAATTGATACACTCTATACCATTGGCTGTCGACTTGTTGCTCAATTTCGTCCTGAACGTATTCGACCCGTGAGTTATGATTTCTTTGTTTTTGAGGGAAATATTAAATTCCTATAATGAAGATATAAAATGTACGTTCATCCTTCTGATTCCAGCTCGATCTTTAGAAACGTTATAAAAAGTAATGTAAACTAGTTTTCTTAACTGAATCATATATTTGATTGTGCAGTGACTCCCTTTTCTCGGGTCATTCCAATGGAAAACATCACCTAAAGTGGAAAATTCTTGTATTCTTGGAAGTATCTTGAGCGACGTAACACAGAGTTGCAAACACGAGACAAAATCAAAAGGCAGCAACAAAAAACAAAAAGTAAAGAGTGTTATCTGCTGTATGAATGATATATACATATATCCTTCGCAGGTGTGGTTCAACTTTTGCATGGATTGGCTTCAAATCTTCGTTACGATCCAACATAGTATATCCTAAACACAACCATTTATGAGCCTTTATATTTCTCTTTCTCACAGAAGTTCTTCGAGTTCATTCGCAACATCTTAGGAAGAACTTTCATGTGTTAAAATGAAAATGAGACATTTTTGTAAATAAGAGTTATTCTTGGACAAATCAAACTTAAAAATTGAGGAAGTACATCTTCGACATCCTTATCCTATTTCTAGCGTTTATTGGTTAACATCACAGCTTTCTTAGGAAACTTATATGCATAACTAGACTTAGCAATTCATCGTTAATCACAAGGAGCTATGACAGGATCTGATTTCGAATGTTTCTTTGATGATACTGTTTGCAATTTAAAATCGGGAATGTTAAAATCAATCCAAATTGCAATGAATTTTTCAGGGCACGTGATTGTCTCATGCGGACATTTTCGTTTCGTGTGCTGCTAGCTACATTATGCAATTCAAATCTGGAAGACAAATATAGATGTAAATCTTTTATTCCACTGTTAAAATATGTACTTGAGTACTACTGACTAATCTAGTACCATGATATCTCCTCTTGTCTGTGGTGCCGTGTTATTTCATTCATTTTCAATGGTTTAATAAACTTGTGGTGGAGACTCCTCATTCTAAAACATACTCTCAGGAAGTTTCAATAAGTAGATATTCCAGACTTATATCAACTTATTGCTAACAACGAAGGTGTTGATCAGAAGAAACTTGCTCTTCTCTTATACGATATCATTCATGTAAGTTTTGGTTTCTTTTATTTTTACACTTGTTTACAATGTTGAAAAGTTACACTGTGTTGAAAAAGAGTTCAGTTTTGACTGACATATGTCTAACCTAATAACTCTAGTCGTCAAAGATACCGAAATCACTACAATTTATTGTGTAGAATTGAATTGCAAGATGATATTGAGAGAACTGCACCTAAAATGTCAACTGATTTACCAGCGATATTATATGTTTTTTTTTCTGAAAAATTCAACATTATTTTCCAGATTCCTAGATTTTTTGGCGAAGCAGCAGCATTTGGTGGTTCAAATGTGGAACCATCAGTGCGATCATGTTTCGAAACAGCGAAATATCCACGATCAATCTCAGTAGATGAATTTTTGAATTGGTTGAAAAAAGAACCACAAAGTATTGTTTGGTTACCTGTCATGCATCGATTAGCTAGTGCCGAATTTGCCAAACATCAGGTGTATTTTAAGTTCACTTTCTAAATTGTCTAATTTAAGAAAATTCAATTGAAAAAAAATCAACCTGCCGAACATGTGTCTTTTTTTTGGAGAAAATCCCGGATTTCCCTCAAAGTCATTCATATTATAATTCACTTTTTGCGCTTTGCCAATAATTCCCCCTGTATGATAATGAATTAGTGGTGCATGCTCTGCTTAATTACTTGACAGCTGTTATAATACTCTATAATGAGGCAATAATTGTGAAGAACTTTGTCTACGGTCCTTTTGCTTATTATTTCATAAAAATATTTTTTCATGTTTGATGGTTTATTCAAAAATTTATAGGCAAAATGTAACGTCTGCAAAATGTTTCCAATTATTGGATTGCGTTATCGCTGTTTGCGATGTTTTAATGTCGATGTTTGTCAGAATTGTTTCTTTAGCCAAAGGCTTGCTAAAAATCATAAATTATCGCATCCGATACAGGAATACTGTTTACCGGTAAGTTTGATGTCATGCCAGTTAATCTCTAAAATAATTTGTTTCTCAGCTTCTGTGTTTTTTTTTTTTTTGTTTCTGTACTTAAACGAAGGTAATTTGTTTCTGTTAAAACTTTAAAAAAAAAGAAAAAAAAAAATTAAAACGTGGTTTTAGACAACATCGGGTGAAGATGTTCGTGATTTTGGCCTAATAGTAAGAAACAAATTGCGATCGAAGAGTAAGACACGAATTGGTTATCTACCAGTGCAAACGGTAGATGAGGGACCTCCATTGGAAACCTGTAATGTTAAACCGGTTAATCCGTTTACTGAACCAATCCATAATCGAATACAGCTCTGCGCTCGAAGGTTACTGTAGCTTGGTTTATTTGTGCTGAATTAGGCCGTTTTCCGTATAATGTGACCTTTCAGTTTTTTTTCCAAAAAATTTCCTCGATTAAAGCAGCTTAATGCAATTTTTTTCTTGATATTGACACATACAGTCACTTCTTTAGTTGGATACGCCTAGCGGCGGTTGGCAAGTTCTTTGCTGATATAAGAGTTAAAGTTCTCACTATAAGTACCAATCATTTCAGGTTATGGAGAGCACAAGGCGAAAATGGTACACCGGTTCCTGTTTCAAACGATAGTGGAGAGGAAATGAGAATGAGTATGGCGGAGTTGAAGTCACCGTTACAGCTGTTATCCCAGGTTGAACAAATGCATAAGGAAGAGTTGGATCAAGTACTGCACAAGTTGCAGCATGAAAATAGGTAGTTCAGAACTGAATTTTCTTGAATTTTTAAAGTAACTTCATTATTTTCAATGAAAAGCACTGAAAGCTACCGTTCTAGATTAATGCATAAATTCAGAGAACTGAAAAAAGAAATTGAAAGACGGAAGAAGCTTGGTAATGCTGTGGGTTCAACGCCGAATCTGACTCGAGGCAGTAGTACAGCAATGTCACGAAGTGTTACTGATAACATGGGAACGGGACGATCTGTTCCCTCACTTTCTAACTCTGGCGATGACCAACTGTTGAGAGAGGTTAACTGCTACAATTTTGCATTCTGTTGCTTCCTTTCGCAATTCTTCCTATTTTCCGGACCATCAATCTTATTTGCTTGATGAAATCAAGTCATCCTTTATTTAGGCATACCTATTGCGGCAACATAAAGAACGACTGGAACAACGAAGTCGGATTCTGGAAGAACAGAATCGTCAACTTGAAACACAACTTGCAAGGCTACGAACAGTCATTGCCCAAGTTAGTTACTTACCCAGTTTTTGTGATATATGACAGCTAAAGTGTTTACTCCCAAAATAAAATCAGCGAATTTGAGCAGTCTTATGACTCAACCATGATATTCACTTTCAAAAGATCCATAGGGTGAGGGATAGTTTAG